ACTTTAGTCTTTTTAAAATAAGATTATTTAAATTTTAATCATCTTGATTCTAGTTTTTTTAATCATTTTAATTTTATTTATTTTCGTTTTGATTTTTTTTTATTTTAGTCCCATAATTTTCTCTCTTTTTTATTTTGGTCCATATAATTTTGTAACTTTTTTCCATTAGATTTGCCGGACAATCTATGACAAGTATGAAAATGAAACAACAAAATTTATAGAAACAAAAATGATTGTTTTTTTTTAAAAAAATAAAAGTAAAAAACCTATTTTACGAGACAAAAAAGTTACTAAAGTCAAAATTTTATTTAATTTTATTTCTCTAACAAATTTTTTAATATATAATACAACATTTCTGTGAGACCCTAATTCCTTTTTCCTTTTCAATTCAATCGTACACACTCAAGCTTCACTCTTTTGCCCTAAGCTCTCACTCTCTTCTTCTCCTCTTTGCTGATTCACTCTCGATTTCTTGGATTCAAGGTGGTGGTGTGAAGTAATTCAGGTTGCTAGCTGAGCATTTAGAGTTCCTCTTCTTCCTCGACTCTCCTCTCTTCTCCGTTCCTTAAACGTCTCTTCCCGGAAGCTCGAAAATTTTGAGACCAGGTAAGGGAAGCTAGTAATTTTCTTTCTTTTTTTGCTGTTTTTGGCTGTGAATGAGTTCTAGAAACTCATTAGATGTTTATTGATGGTCGATTCATGGCTGTGTTGAATGAGTACTGTTTGTTTTTTTGGGGGTTTCGGAGTTTTTGAGAAAATTTGGGGAAATCCTTGATTTGTTGTTGCATGTGGAAAAAGGTAGTATTTTTGGGTTCTTGGATGGAAATGTGATAATTTGAACCGATTGCATGTGCCTGGGAAGTTGATTTTGTATGTTTTGATGAGATTTTTCGAAAGATTGAGGGTTACTGCTGGGTATCACGCCGGGCGTAGTTCTTCGCGCCGGGCGCGTGACCATCAGAGACTTCATTTAGGCAAGCACGCCGAGCGCAATGGTGAATGCGCCGGGCGGGCTTGAGGGTGTGAGTCTCTGGATGGTCCTCGCTGGGCGTGGTGGAACCGCGCCGGGCGAAATATCAGTGGATGACTCCAGTTTTTGAGGTTCTGGTGTGGCGCCGGGCTTGGCTTTGTCTCGCCGGGCGTGGAGACTCTAGGGGAGTCTCTGCCAGAGGTGGCGTTGGGCGCAATTTATATTGCGCCGAGCGTGAGACTTGGAGAAAGTCTCTGCCTTCCCTCACGCCGGGCGCAATAGGTATTACGCCGGGCGTGTCGGTCCCTAGTGCTCTCTGGTTGTGCTGCGATGGGCGCAACCACGAGTGCGCCAGGCGCGTGGATGGGATTTTACTATATACTAAGTTGTGTTGAAATGAATATGATGGGGTGACTAGTAGATAATGAAGTTGATGAGGTTGAGTTGTGTTGTATGTTGACAAGTTAAGTTGTATTGTATGTTGATGAGATGAGTGGTGTTGTATGTTGCTGAGTAGTGTTGTGTTGTAAGTTGATATGCTGAGCTGTACAGTTGTGTGGAACTATGTGTTGATATTGGATGTTGTAGGCCGAAAGGCTGAGTTGTTGTAGGCCGAAAGGCTGAGTTGTTGTAGGGCGAAAGGCTGAGTTGATGTAGGCCGTAAAGGCTGAGTTGTTGTAGGAGATCCCCGAGTTGATATGCGTGACGACGCATTGTATGCTTATTGATGATCATGTTGAAAAACCGATGGGATGTATGTTGATGAAGTGTTGATAGTTGTAGTTGTTTATATTACTTAAATCTTTCTATTTGCTGTTTCTTTTTATGCTAGCTTACCCTTTTGTTGATTCCATGTGGTTGGACTGCTATGATCGTACTATGTACGGGAGCAGAGCAGGGATAGAAGGTGGATAGCGATGAGTCGGCAGCTGATAGATGGAGCTGACGTCTATGGATGTTTTGTTTGTTTTAGTCACTAGGCATAGTGACTTCTGATGTAATTCTGGTTTTACATACCCTAACTCTAGTCGGATTCGGGACATATGTATATACTTATATTCTAGACTCTATATTTATATACTTGTTCTATTCTGTCTAGTGTTTATGGTGTGTTTTGTTGATGAGTGGAATGGCCAGCCGGGTCGTTACACTTTAGTGGTATCAAAGCAGGTCGAGTTTAGTGGACACTCTTTGGGGGTGGTTCCTTTAGGCTTTTGTTGTGCTAACTATGTGTTGTGCTGCCTGGTTGTGTTGTTTGTTGTGCTGATTAGTGTGATGAACTGCTGTGTTGTTAATTGTTGTTTGGTTGAGTGGTAGTGTACTAAAGATGCTGTTATTTTGTAGACGATGACTAGAACCAACGAACAGATAGCCCTGCCATAGAAATGATGGCTATGGCTATGCAACAGCAGAATGCATATTTTGCTAGGATGGAAGCTGAGAGAGCTGCAGCTGGTGCAGCAAGACCCACGGGGTCACAGGAGAGCCGGGACCTAGCTGAGTTCTGGAAGTGTCATCCCCCACAGTTTACGGGTGAAGCGGATCTAGAGGTAGCTGACCGCTGGATACGTGAGTTAGAGAAGATTTTTACTGTTCTGGGGTGTTCTCCAGAGAAGAGGTTGGCATATGCTGTGTATATGCTGGTGGGAGAGGCCGAGCATTGGTGGAGAAACACTTACCAGATGCTTGCCACTAGGGGAGCTACAGTTGGTTGGGAGTGCTTCAGGACAGTATTCATGGAGAAGTATTATCCAGAGAGCGTGAGGCACGCCAAGGAGGCCGAGTTTTTGCGATTACATCAGGGTGGGTTGTCTGTGTCAGAGTATGCATTGAGGTTCGAGCACTTGGCTCGTTTTTATTCGCAGGCTATTTCTAAAGCCTGGAAGTGCAGAAAATTTGCTGAGGGGCTGAAGTATGAGTTGAAGAAGGTGGTGGTGCCTATGGCCATCACCGAGTTTCCTGCCTTAGTAGAGAAGGCGAAGATTGTAGAGAGGTTAGAAGGGAGTAACCGGGTGATCAGAGCTGCTGAGGGACCAGCTGGGTCCAAGAGAGGAAGTGGAAGTCAGGGGAAGCCCGGGCGGGCTTGAGGGTGTGAGTCTCTGGATGGTCCTCGCTGGGCGTGGTGGAACCGCGCCGGGCGAAATATCAGTGGATGACTCCAGTTTTTGAGGTTCTGGTGTGGCGCCGGGCTTGGCTTTGTCTCGCCGGGCGTGGAGACTCTAGGGGAGTCTCTGCCAGAGGTGGCGTTGGGCGCAATTTATATTGCGCCGAGCGTGAGACTTGGAGAAAGTCTCTGCCTTCCCTCACGCCGGGCGCAATAGGTATTACGCCGGGCGTGTCGGTCCCTAGTGCTCTCTGGTTGTGCTGCGATGGGCGCAACCACGAGTGCGCCAGGCGCGTGGATGGGATTTTACTATATACTAAGTTGTGTTGAAATGAATATGATGGGGTGACTAGTAGATAATGAAGTTGATGAGGTTGAGTTGTGTTGTATGTTGACAAGTTAAGTTGTATTGTATGTTGATGAGATGAGTGGTGTTGTATGTTGCTGAGTAGTGTTGTGTTGTAAGTTGATATGCTGAGCTGTACAGTTGTGTGGAACTATGTGTTGATATTGGATGTTGTAGGCCGAAAGGCTGAGTTGTTGTAGGCCGAAAGGCTGAGTTGTTGTAGGGCGAAAGGCTGAGTTGATGTAGGCCGTAAAGGCTGAGTTGTTGTAGGAGATCCCCGAGTTGATATGCGTGACGACGCATTGTATGCTTATTGATGATCATGTTGAAAAACCGATGGGATGTATGTTGATGAAGTGTTGATAGTTGTAGTTGTTTATATTACTTAAATCTTTCTATTTGCTGTTTCTTTTTATGCTAGCTTACCCTTTTGTTGATTCCATGTGGTTGGACTGCTATGATCGTACTATGTACGGGAGCAGAGCAGGGATAGAAGGTGGATAGCGATGAGTCGGCAGCTGATAGATGGAGCTGACGTCTATGGATGTTTTGTTTGTTTTAGTCACTAGGCATAGTGACTTCTGATGTAATTCTGGTTTTACATACCCTAACTCTAGTCGGATTCGGGACATATGTATATACTTATATTCTAGACTCTATATTTATATACTTATTCTATTCTGTCTAGTGTTTCTGGTGTGTTTTGTTGATGAGTGGAATGGCCAGCCGGGTCGTTACAATTTCTGTTTTAAAATATTTGTAACATAATTTTTAGTTTTAATATTTTATGCAACATTTAATTTCTTTTAAATATCTTTAATATCTTCAAATTAATTAAATTCGTAAAATATGCATGTATGCTCGCAAATGAATCAAACTTATTATCATTATTTTGAAAGTCAGACAAAACTGAATTTAACTTTTGAATATACAAATGTTTTAAAAGCTAAGAAGGGTTTTAATAATACTTTTATTCTACTTGGACATAATTTTCTAAAACAGAGGATAGTTATGGAATGGATAATTTTTTTTAATTAGAAAATTATTTTATTAGCAGGGATGGATGTAAAGGGCGACAAATACCCTCAGAGATATCATTTTTTTCGTAAATATATAATATATTTTAATAAAAATTGTTAGAAAAATATATTTATTTTATTCAATCCGCTTATGCTATTATTAAAAGGATTTAACTCTTTAAATTTTTAAAACGATGGAATGTGTTCTTTTTTCAGTTTAATTAATAACGTTAAATTTTGTACATATAATGATAGATTTCATCATTATTATTATTATTATTATTATTATTATTATGTGTTTTTATCGTTTTAGAAAATTAAATAATTAAATTAGACATTTTAATAATAAACATATCAAATTAAAAACCAATAAAGTAATTTATAATTAAAAGAAAGGCAAGAGACGACACGGTTCTCTTTCAATGCGCACATTAAGATTAGCATATTACGATCCACTTCGTGCTTTGTCGGTCCTCACTGTAGCGATGGTATACTCTATTCTATAGCCCCCTCAACCGCAAACTCGCATTCCCCACGTAGTGGCCTATAAATAAAGCCTCTGGTGAGTGAGAAGTGAGAACCAAAACCCATCAAAACCAAACACTCCCATAACGTAAGATTCCAAACATGGTGCAGCAGAGACAAAACAACGCCCACGTGGTTGTGCTTCCATACCCAGCCCAAGGCCACATCAACCCCTTGGTCCAATTCGCCAAGAGGCTCGCCTCCAAGGGCGTCAAAGCCACCGTCGCCACCACCCACTACACGGCCGCCTCCATCGCCGCCCCCGGCATCACCGTGGAGCCCATCTCCGACGGCTTCGACGAGGGCGGATTCGCCCAGACCAACAACAACGTCCAACTCTTCCTCACCTCCTTCAAAACAAACGGCTCCAGAACACTGTCCCACCTCGTACAGAAGCACCGACAGAGCGCCACCCCCGTCACCTGCATTGTCTACGACTCCTTCTTCCCGTGGGCCCTCGACGTCGCCAAGCACCACGGCGTTTATGGGGCGGCGTTTTTCACCAACTCTGCGGCGGTCTGCAACATATTCTGCCGCATACACCATGGCTTCATTCGGGTTCCCGTCAACAAGGAGGACCTTCCCCTCTCTGTTCCTGGCCTTCCTCCTTTGGATCACCGCGCTCTTCCCAGCTTCGTCAGGTTCCCCCAAAGCTACCCTGCTTACATGGCCATGAAGTTGAGCCAATTCCCTAACCTCAAGGAAGCTGATTGGATGTTTGTCAACACCTTCGAAGAATTAGAAGGCGAGGTACTGGTTTAGATTTTTCTTACTTTCAACTCGCTACATGTTTAGATAAAACAAGAAAAAAAAAATCAAATTTCATTTTTTACTTTTCTTGCTTTTGGAACGGTGGTTGTAAATGTAAGAATTGACATGGAGCACAGAAATCAGTATGGGGTACTCAACTTTGATTTTCTTGGCGTTAAAATAATGTTTCTAACAGAAAAAGTCACTTTTAGCTGTCAATTTTGAAATTATATAAATTATATATATATAATTGTTTTTTAAAGAATTACTCCGTTAAGGCGTTACTAGAAATTTTTTTAAAACTTTTTCCTCTATAAGTACGGTTGAAAAAGTTTATTCAAGTATGTTGTTAGTTTTCTAACTTAAAAATTCCACTTTGATTTTTTTTTTTCATTATATCAAGTTGTGGGTTTCGTAAGTTTATTATACTAATTTCCATCCACATGATATGCGTGAAAGATGTCATGTTAGACAGGCATTTACCACGTGTTAATACTTTAGTATGATAAATTGACATACCAATAATTTGATTTAAGAGATATTTTAAAGAGTCAAATTAGAACTTTTAAACTAAGAATCAAATTAAAAAAAGTAAAACGAGGGGGAAAAGATTAATAGTTTATTGTATAATATGAGCATCTACTTATTATATCATATTCTCTGATTCTGCATAGAAAGATTTGTGTTGACAAAATGACCCAGATTCCCTGCAGTCAAATAAAACTTTCAATTATTTTGTGTTTAATGTATATAAATTAATTTTGGTGGATGTCTTTTTATCTGTTGGTGATTGGGTTCAATGATTTATCAAAAAAATTATTGGTTAACTATTTTTTCCAGTTCTTGGTTTAGCATATTCTGCTTTGTCTGATTCGTTGTTGGTGATGATTTTTTTTCCTTTGAAAGGTGATGACGGGCTTAACGGAGCTCTTTCCAGCGAAGATGATAGGGCCAATGGTTCCTTCTGGCTACTTGGATGGGAGGATCAAAGGGGACAAAGGGTATGGAGCCAGCCTATGGAAGCCACTGAATGAAGAGTGCAGCAATTGGTTGGAAGCAAAGGAGCCTCAGTCAGTGGTGTACATCTCCTTTGGAAGCATGGTGTCCTTGACATCAGAGCAGATGGAAGAGGTGGCTTGGGGGTTGAAAGAAAGTGGGGTGAGTTTCCTTTGGGTTTTAAGAGAATCTGAGCATGGTAAATTGCCTAGTGGGTACAGAGACTTGGTCAAGGACAAGGGTCTAATTGTGACATGGTGCAACCAGCTTGAGTTGCTGGCTCACCAAGCCACTGGTTGCTTTGTGACACATTGTGGATGGAATTCCACCCTTGAGAGCCTTAGCCTTGGTGTGCCTGTTGTTTGTTTGCCACAGTGGGCTGATCAGTTGCCTGATGCAAAGTTTATGGAGGATGTGTGGGAGGTTGGTGTGTGGCCAAAGGAGGATGAGAAAGGAGTTGTAAGGAAGCAAGAGTTTGTGAAGAGTTTGAAGGATGTAATGGAGGGTGAAAGAAGCCAAGAGATTAGGAAGAATGCCAATAAGTGGAAGAAGTTGGCTAGAGAAGCGGTTGGTGAAGGAGGCAGCTCTGATATGCACATTAACCAATTTGTGAGTCATTTGATGAATGCAGATAAGAATAGAAGTTTGAATGTATTCTGAGTGACTATCTCATCATTAGTTGCTATTTGTTAGTGGACGCATTATGGGCTCATTGTTTCAATTATGTGAATGTATGATATCTTCTGTTAGTTTCATTCTTGAAAGCCAATAATACATTTCTTTTATAATTTGTCATGTGTTTGTTACAAATTCTTGATTAGAAAGATGTATCAGTTCATACATATCACATATGGCGGTACAGAATAAATGACAAGAACCAATTGATTAATGATATATATGGCCTTTCCATTTCTTAAATGATGCAGTAACAATTGAATTAAATGATTATTAAAAAAGGGATGAAAATAAAATAAATAAAATCTCGTAATTCCTCTACACTTTACTCGGTCTGATCTGAGTATCGCAGAATCTGGGTCATCCAAAAGGGGTTACCTGTTCGTAATTTACGAGTATTTGAGTTAACTGTTGGTAATTTTGGCCCTCCTAATTTATACTGATCCTCCATTTATCAACAACCAGATATTAATAGTTAATTGATTTTGGTACTAATAGAATTGTTATTGTCAAATCAAAGAAAATTAATATCAATAATTTGAGGTTCAAATTAAAGAAGAATTTGGAGATATTTTGATTTTATATAACTTTATTTTAATAATTAATTTATAATTAAAAGACTCAATTTACACAAATATAAAAAAAACTATTTGTTTTACTCAGTAAGAATCGTAAAAAAAAAAACTATTTTAATCTTACACATTTTATATTAATTATGATCCTCTTTTAATTTAATGAAAATTTAAATAAAATATCAAACCACATGAAATATAGTGAGTATAAGTAATGCAAGATGAGCATAAAAAATGCATAAAATTCTTAAATTATAAATTAAACTAAATTATATCACAAAATTTGTCTCTTAAGAATTATGATTTTTTTCCCACTTTCCAAGTCGTATAAACAAGATCATGTATCATGGAACTTGTAACTTTGTCAAATTCATCAGTTTTGATATCTTGAAAAAATGATCTCTAATATAATTTCTGCCACACACTATCACCAACATCTTCAACATCTAATATTTCATTATATGAAATGAATACATTAACCATCCAAAGTTCAAGTAAATATTATTTTTCTATTCTTTTATCTTTGGAAAATATTGCATGATAAGCAAAATATTGTCTATGTTTTATTGGCAAGTTTAAATAACTTAACCTCAAGGTTGACATTACACAGTTCTCATCCTGTGGTAAATTCCACATGTTGCTTTCCTTAACATAGAACCACGCTCCACATTTTTTTACTATCTCCCTCCCTATAACCACAAGATTTTCGTGTTTTACTTCATGTGGTCCAAAGGCTCGGTGTTTAAACAATTCCCAACAATCATTTTCGGATAGCACTGATAATTCATGAGGAGGCATTGTTCCCATGATTGATGCAACAGTTGGAAGACGAGTAGTAACCAAAATGGAAGCACCCTTTGCCCTACAAGCCAATGTAGATTTCAACCTCTGCCAGTTCTCTTGCTTATCATACCACACGTCATCCAAAACAAGCAAATATCTTTTCTTTTGAAGTAGATCTTGAAGTTTTCTTTGTAGTGACTCTAGTTCCAAATCCTCACAAGCATGCCTAGTTGCTGCTTCGATGATAGCTTTTATTGTTCTCTTCAAACTAAAATCTTCTGAAACACATACCCATATTGTTAGCTCAAAGTGGATAACTACCCTCTCATGATTGAAAATGAGTTGAGCAAGTGTTGTTTTTCCAAGTCCTCCTAGACCTATAATTGGATAGACAGTTAAAATCTAAGAATGGGAAGCATCACCGACCAAAAAGTCTACAATTTTATCCTCGTCTTTCTCTCTTCCATAGACTTGTGGTTCAGTGACCAATGAGGTGGTTTGGCACCACTCAGGGACTCCACTTTGTTGGAATATAAATTGATTTTGTATGTTGGGCTTAAAAGATAAAAGCCCAATATTAGCAAAGGCCCAAATAGAATTCTAGAAAATCCTATCTAAAAGATTCTAGAATGATGTACAAAATATCTATAGATGTTTATCCATAAGATGTTTCTAGATAAGTTTAGAAAAGTTTAGAATTGTAGGAATGTTTTAGAAAGTTCTAGAGAATGAATTATAGCCCTTAGATGAATGTTGTGGTGGCAAGATCCTAACCATTGGTTAAGGAGGTGCCACTAGTATAAATAGGGGATGGTTGTATCATTTGGAAGTAAGCCAAAAAGTTTAGAAGCATTCAATACAACAAGCCTTTCTTTCTCTCAAAATCTTCCAACCTCTCCCAATCTTAAACACTTCCTTCTAGCCTTTAAAGTTTCTTCCCAACAAAGTGGTATCAAGAGCCATAAGATCTTCAGAGAAATGGCAAATACTGGAGTTCCTTTTCAAGTCCCGATGCTCACCAAGAGCAACTATGACAATTGGAGCTTAAGGATGGTAGCTCTCCTTGGTGCACATGATGTCTGGGAGGTGGTCGAGAAGGGCCACACCGAACCAGAGAATGTAGAGAGTCTTTCTCAAGCTCAAAAGGATAGCTTGAGAGACTCAAGGAAGAGAGACAAGAAAGCTCTCTGTCTAATCTATCAAGGATTAGATGAAGATACCTTTGAGAAGATTTCCGGAGTCAAGACAGCCAAGGAAGCATGGGAGAAGCTCAAGATCTCTTACAAGGGAGCAGATCAAGTAAAAAAGGTACGTCTTCAAACTTTGAGAGGAGAGTTTGAAGCTTTACATATGAAGGAAGGTGAACTAGTCTCCGATTACTTTTCGAGAGTTTTAACAGTTACTAATAACCTAAAAAGAAATGGTGAGAAGTTAGATGATGTAAGAATTATGGAGAAAATTCTTAGATCATTGGATCCAAAGTTCGAACATATTGTCACCATTACCGAAGAAACAAAAGACTTGGAGGCCATGTCAATAGAGCAACTTCTTGGTTCGTTGCAAGCTTATGAAGAAAAGAAAAAGAAGAAGGAAGAGATCGTGGAGCAAGTCTTCAAGGCACATGTTGATTCAAGAAAAGAAGAAAATGCACACAACCAATCAAGGCGAAGTTATAGTCAAGAACAAGGACGAGGGCGTGCATATGGACATGGACAAGGACGAAGGCCTAACAATAATAACCAGAGAGGAGAAAGCTCTAACAGAGGTCGTGGGAGAGGAAATCCGAATTCAAGGTATGACAAGTCACGAATCAAGTGTTACAATTGTAATAAGTTTGGACATTATGCTTCTGAATGTAGAGCCCCTAACAAAAATAAAGTCGAAGAGAAAGCCAATTATGCTGAAGAAAGGTGTCAAGAAGATGGTACCTTGCTATTGGCTTACAAGGGCCAAGATAAAGGCGAGGATAATCAGTGGTACCTTGACAGTGGAGCAAGTAACCATATGTGTGGGAAAAGAAGCATGTTCGTAGAGCTTGACGAATCAGTAAAGGGAAACGTGGCTTTTGGAGATGAATCAAAGGTGGCGGTGGAAGGAAAAGGTAATGTCCTCATCCAACTAAAGAATGGAGAACATCAATTTATTTCCAACATATATTATGTGCCAAGCATGAAGAGCAACATCTTGAGCTTAGGACAACTCTTAGAGAAAGGTTATGATATTCAACTTAAGAATAATAACCTTTCTATAAGAGATAACACAAGTAGATTCATTACAAAGGTGCCAATGATGAGAAATAGAATGTTTGTGCTCAACATTCAAAGTGATGGCCCACAATGTCTCAAGATGTGCTACAAAGACCAATCGTGGCTTTGGCATCTTCGATTTGGCCATCTTAATTTTAAAGGATTAGATTTGCTCTCCAAGAAGGCAATGGTGAGAGGGCTGCCTTGTATTACTCACCCCAACCAAGTCTGTGAAGGATGTCTACTTGGAAAACAATTTCGATTGAGTTTTCCAAAGGAGTCAGACTCAAGAGCTCAAAAGCCATTAGAACTCATACACACAGATGTGTGCGGACCAATCAAGCCAAGATCACTTGGTAAGAGTAATTATTTCCTTCTCTTCATTGATGATTTTTCAAGAAAAACATGGGTATATTTCTTAAAAGAAAAATCAGAAGTATTCGAGAACTTCAAGAAGTTTAAAGCCCATGTTGAGAAGGAAAGTGGCCTTCTGATCAAAGCTTTGAGATCCGATCGTGGAGGAGAGTTCACATCAAAAGAGTTTCAGAAGTATTGTGAAGACAATGGAATTAGACGACAATTGACAGTGCCAAGATCGCCTCAACAAAACGGAGTGGCTGAAAGGAAGAATAGAACAATCTTGGAGATGGCAAGAAGCATGCTTAAAAGTAAAAAACTTCCAAAGGAGTTTTGGGCTGAAGCTGTTGCATGTGCAGTCTATCTAACCAACCGCTCTCCAACAAGAAGCGTTAGTGGAAAAACACCACAAGAAGCATGGAGCGGTAGAAAACCAGGTATTTCTCATCTTAGAGTCTTTGGAAGCATAGCTCATGTGCATGTGCCAGATGAGAAACGAAGTAAACTTGATGACAAAAGTGAAAAATACATCTTCATTGGTTACGACGCCAACTCCAAAGGGTACAAACTCTACAATCCTGATTCAAGGAAAACAATCATCAGTCGGAATGTAGTGTTTGATGAAGAAGGAGAATGGGATTGGTCGACAAATTGTGAGGATCATACCTTCTTCCCGTGCGTTGAAGAAGATGATGTGGAACAACAACAACAACCGCAAGAGACACCTACTACTCCACCCACTTCACCAAATACAACCCTTCAAGATTATGAAAGCTCAAGTGAAAGAATGCCACGTTTTCGAAGTCTCCAAGAAATATATGAGGCAACCGAAAATCTAGACAATGTTACCTTATTCTGTCTATTTGCAGACTGTGAGCCCATGAACTTCCAAGAAGCAATTGGAAAGAAGAGTTGGAGAAATGCAATGGATGAAGAGATCGAGGCAATAAAGAAGAATGATACTTGGGAGCTAGTCTCGCTTCCAAAAGAACACACAGCAATTGGTGTCAAGTGGGTCTACAAAGCAAAGAAGGACTCCAAAGGAGAAGTTCAGAGATACAAAGCAAGATTGGTAGCAAAGGGCTACAGTCAAAGGGCTGGCATCGACTATGACGAGGTATTTGCTCCTGTTGCTCGACTAGAAACTGTTAGACT